CAACCACCACCCTCTGTCTTCTTACAGCTAGCCAATTTCTGATCCAAACCGCTAAATCACCCTCAATCCCATGCCTCCGTATTTTCTGCAATAGCCTACCACGGGGAGCCTTATCAAACGCTTTACTGAAATCCATATACACCACATCAACCGCTTTACCCTCATCCACCTGTTTGGTCACCTTCTCGAAGAACTCAATAAGGTTTGTGAGGCACGACCTACCCTTCACAAAACCGTGTTGACTATCCCTAATCAAATTATTCCTTTCTAGATGATTATAAATCCTATCTCTTATAATCCTTTCCAACACTTTACCCACAACTGAAGTAAGGCTCACTGGTCTATAATTACCAGGGTTGTCTCTACTCCCCTTCTTGAACAAGGGGACAACATTTGCTAGTCTCCAGTCTTCTGGCACTATTCCTGAAGACAATGACGACATAAAGATCAAAGCCAAAGGCTCTGCAATCTCCCCTCTAGCTTCCCAGAGAATCCTAGGATAAATCCTATCCGGCCCAGGGGACTTATCTATTTTCACACCTTCCAGAATTTCTAACACCTCCTCCTTATGAACCTCAATCCCATCTAAATAGACTGTATCTCAGTATTCTCCTCGACTACATTGTCTTTGTCTTTTTCCTGCGTGAATACTGACAAAAAGTATTCATTTAGCACCTCTCCTATCTCTTCGGACTCCACGCACAACTTCCCACTACTGTCCTTGACCGACCCCAATCTTACTCCAGTCATTCTTTTATTCCTGACATACCTATAGAAAGCTTTAGGGTTTTCCTTGATCCTACCTGCTAAAGACTTCTCATGTCCCCTCCTGGCTCTTCTTAGCTCTCTCTTTAGGTCCTTCCTGGCTAACTTGTAACTCTCAAGCGCCCTAACTGAGCCTTCACGCCTCATCTCTACATAAGCCTCCTTCTTCCTCTTGACAAGAGATTCAACTTCTTTAGTAAACCACCGTTCCCTCGCTCGACCACTTCCTCCCTGCCTGACAGGTACATACTTCTCAAGGACACGCAGTAGCTGTTCCTTGAACAAGCTCCACATTTCAATTGTGCCCAGCCCCTGCGGTTTCCTTCTCCATCCTATGCATCCTAAATCTTGCCTCATCGCCTCATAATTGCCTTTCCCCCAGCTATAACTCTTGCCCTGCGGTATATACTGATCCCTTTCCATCGCTAAAGTAAACGTAAACAAATTGTGGTCACTATCACCAAAGTGCTCACCTACCTCCAAATCTAACACCTGGCCTGGTTCATTACCCAGTACCAAATCCAATGTGGCCTCGTCTCTTGTTGGCCTATCTACATACTGTGTCAGGAAACCCTCCTGCACACATTGGACAAAAACTGACCCATCTAAAGTACTCGAACTATAGCGTTTCCAGTCAATATTTGGAAAGTTAAAGTCCCCCATAACAACTACCCTGTTACTTTTGCTCCTATCCAGAATCATCTTTGCAATCTTTTCCTCTACATCTCTGGAACTTTTCGGAGGCCTATAGAAAACTCCCAACAGGGTGACCTCTCCTTTCCTGGTTCTAACCTCAGCCCATACTACCTCAGTAGACGAGTTGTCATCAAACGTCCTTTCTGCCACCGTAATACTGTCCTTGACTAACAATGCCACACCTCCCCCTCTTTTACCACCTTCCCTGATCTTACTGAAACATCTAAACCCCGGAACCTGCAACAACCATTCCTGTCCTTGCTCTATCCATGTCTCCGAAATGGCCACAACATCGAAGTCCCAGGAACCAACCCATGCTGCAAGTTCACCCACCTTATTCTGGATGCTCCTGGCATTGAAGTAGACACACTTCAAACCACCTTCCTGCCTGCCGGTACACTCCTGTGACCTTGAAACCTTATTTATGACCTCACTACTCTCAACCTCCTGTACACTGGAGCTACAATTCAGGTTCCCATCCCCCTGTTGAATTAGTTTAAACCCTCCCGAAGAGCATTAGCAAATTTCCCCCCCAGGATATTGGTACCCCTCTGGTTCAGGTGTAGACCATCCCGTTTGTAGAGGTCCCACCTACCCCAGAATGAGCCCCAATTATCCAGGTATCTGAATCCCTCCCTCCTGCACCATCCCTGTAGCCACATGTTCAACTGCTCTCTCTCCCCATTGCCTTTTTGTTGTATTTACCTCTGAGCTAGCATTCCTAATTAATTAAGCATATTTTTCACCAAGGTAGTAACTATATTCGCCTACAATTCAATTTTTTGCTTTGCTTGAAAGAACTCTTGGGTTTACAACAACAACAGAATGCATTCTTATAATGCCTTTGAAGGATATGCTTGATGGACATCAAGCCAAAAAAGGAGCTGTTTTACTTTGGTCAAAGAGGTGAATTTGACGTAAAATCTTAAATGAAGAGAGGGAGCCGGAGGAGCAGAAGCTTCAGAAAAGAGTGAGTCATGGGTGATGAAAAAAATGCAGCAACTCTGAGCATTGCCAGCATCCCTGAGAGAGGTCGATGCTGCTGAGGCCTCAAAATATGAAGGCAACAGAAAATGTAGTGGCTGTCGGAGTGATGAGCGGCCTCAGAGGGATAAATGTGACTTTACTGTTCGATGCAACAAGTAGGCAGCCTCTGCAGATGGAGGAGAAGCCCTACTGTTGCAGTGTTGCGGCCAAGGGAGTGTCTTCGGTGACACTCCGAGGAGGTTGCCCCCACACGGCTAGAGGATGACTGTGTGGCGAGGGCCGTTTTGCTGCTGCCAAATGTCAAACTTTCCAGGAAAGTCACCCTTTTGATGCGCCCTTTCATTATTCACCTCCCGGCGTTAGGACTGAGATGGGGAGCTGTCCCAATGCATCTGTCCGTCACTGTTCTGGCTTCATTGCCATCTCTGTGGTGCCAGGTAAAATGCAGCCCATAGGATCAGAAACTCAGCTCCAGGTTGCTTAGGATGACAAAGTTGTAACCAGTCTGCGGATGGTGACAAAGGGACAGCATGTGTCCGAAGAGGAAGGTGCATTCTTCATTTTTCTCCTGAAGTCAGAGTTAGTGGAAGATCAGCAAATAGTGGAGATTTCTGTAGCCAGACTTGGTTAGGTAAGACAAAATGAGGGCAGTCACAGAAAGGAGGCTGGAAATCTGGTAGTCTTAATGTGATCCAGCGAAATTTGCTGACAGATAACTCAACCAAATACTTTCTGGATTATGCTCCTTGGATTTGAAGAAATGAAGATGGGGCTTGGACTGGGGAAATGGCCAGAATGACTGGGGGCTTTTTGTATCACATTTGTAGGTGATTTCAAGGTGTAAAGAATTGTTATGATTATATGAAAAATAGTGTGCAAACATTTGAAAGTGCAGTTGTAAGCAACTTCATAAAGAGTTATTTTTCGTGGCAATTGATGTCAAGGTCACTAAAGAGGAAAGAGAATTGTGTGTGATGAATAATGTGTGGAAGTGATTGTTGATATCCTGATCTGAGGTCAAGATTATGGGAAATACTGAGGCAAAAGTCATTGTTATAAATCTATGTAGAAGAAATTATCGGGAGGAAGAAGTTTCACTCAAGGTTTTTGTAGTGGCAGTAGGAATAATGTATTAGTTTATTTGGGGAAATTACCTTTTTGTCAGAATGTAGTTTTGTTGCTCTCCATTTTCTGGTTAATGGTCATGGAAAGGACTTTTGAAAATCTATCCTTAAAACTCAAAATCTTTCCATTATTGTAATTTAACACTATGCAAATTATACCCCAGTCCAGATATTATAACCCTGAATCAGTTATTAAGGCAGGCAAAATACCTTTAAAGAATGATACCATGTAAATCTGGCATGTATATATTATTTTGTCATATGTCTTGGAGTCATCATGTTTCAAACATCCTAATGTACTCATGCACATTGATTTTTTGGAGCATGTGAATGCCATGCAATAAATGACACTGATTGTTTCGATAAAATATCATTATCATCATGCAAGATAGGTGAATGCAGGAGAAAGACATTATTTGTTCATCATCTTGTTCTGTTTTATTATCACACCCCACTAAGGCACATTTGCTGGACATTCAGGATCAGACTCAATTTTCAAGTCAAACTTCGTTACCAGTAATGGAGAACAGGCTACATGACAAGTAGTTGTTATTGTCAGCTGGCTACTTACTATCTGAACAGTAAATTTAGATAGATCTTACATGATTACTTAGATCACTTTGTAATATATCCAGACTAAAAAGGGTTGAGTGAAAATAAAATACCTGATATGAGATAAAGTGAAACTTTTGAAAATGCAAAGCTTCATTACACAAGGGGATGA